TTGTGAGGACACCGTCTCTTCATCCTCTCTATGGATTTTGTCCTATCAGGCAGAGTCGGACAGGAGCCTCCTTCCTCACCCCCCCCACCCCCGCCCCAAGCTGTCCCTTTGTCTCCCTGTGACGCACTTTGTGAGCTTCTGGGACGTGTCAGTTCCTGTCCTAGGCACGGGTCATGACATGGTCATGAACTGCTCGGTGTGGTGAAGCCACCCGCTTTCTACAGGGAGAAGGTAGACAGCAGACAGGTGCACAAATGAACAAGCCAAGATGTGTCGTTGGGGCTGTAAAGAAATACTCAGCTTGAGCGCTGAGGGGCCCCTGAACTCAGGTCCTAGGGCTGCGGGGGCTCTTAACTGAGGTCCTGGGGAAGATAAGGCCCCACTGTGCGCAGAGCTCCTGGAAGGGCCTGCCAGGGGCGGGGGCAGAGGACAGAGGCTCTGAAGCGGGAAGGAGTTTGCCAAACCCTGGGGGTGGCCAGAGCCCGCGAGCGCTGAGGGCAATGCACACTCCACACCAGGCAGGCCTGGCGGTGTGGGCGCAGAGGGTGGCGGGTGGAGACAGTGGGTGGGGACAGGAGGTTCCTCGGGGTCAGGTGTCCCTTCGCCCCGTTGCTACCGCAGTTGCCCAGGCCTCAAACCGACGTGAGTGTCCGTCTAGCGTCCGCGTGTGCCCGGGGCCCCGGCTAAGCCACCTTTGGCTCTGCGCTGCCGGTACGATGCTCATGACCACTTAGCAGAGAGGACGCCCCTCGCGATCAGCCCAGCCGCGTCTCCAGCCACCCCGCTGTCCCCCGTTTCCCGAAGCTTGCTCTCTGCGTCGTCAGGCTCGGCACCTGCCGTCCCGTCTGCGGGGGGCATCCTCACGCCCCCTTCCCTCGTCCCATTCACAGGGAACTCATCCTTCAAGCCTCCTCTGGGTGGTCTTCTGTCCCCAAACTCCCCCAAGTGGATTTCTCTCTCTTCCCGAGCTCTCACGGACGTTTATCTCATTGCATCATAATTATTGGTTTTCTTTGAAAAAGGAAAACAACATGGAAAAGTGCGGAGGGTCATATACGTAGAAACCATGGGGACTTGCTCCTCCGTACTCCTGCCAGCTCCGAAAGGGCGGTGACCACGCTCATCCGTGCGACCTGACCGCCTCGCCCTGTGACTGTCACGCAGCAGGTGCTAATCAATATGCGACGCAGGAATGAATTATTTCGATGCTTGAACGTGTCACCCTCACAATTGACATGTTGGGGTCCAGCACCTCAAAACATGCTCTTACTTGGAACTGCGTTTTTGCTGGTGTGATGTGTTAGGATGAGGTCACGCTGGAGTGAAGTGGGCCCGTGACCTGATGTGACTGGTGTCCTTATGAAAAGGGGCCGTTTGGAGGTAGAGACAGACACGCACGGAGGGAAGACAGCGTGAGCAGACATTCAGAGACGGCCACTCCCTCGCAGGGAGAGGGGCCTGTGCCAGATGCCCCTCCACCACTGTCGGGAGGAACCGACCCTGCCAGCTCTCTGAGCTCGGATTTCCAGCCTCCGGAGCCACGAGAAAAGACATCTCCGCGGTTTAAGCCCCCGTTTTGTGGTCCTCTGTGGCCCCAGGAAACTGATACTATACCCCTTTCCCTTCACCAACACCTCCACCCCGTCAGCCGGTCCCATCGGCTCCGTCTCCAAAACACACCTCAAATCCATCCGCGGCCAGGCCACCGTCACCTCTCACCCGGATTACTGTGACAGCTTCTCAGCTCGTCTCAAATTCTCTTCTTCCCTCTCTGTAGCCTGTTCTCCCCCAATGAGCCAGATCGTGTCGCCCCCACCCCAACCCCCCCACTTCCCCCGGCAGACCCCTGCTCCAGCCCCCGGCCCCGCCTCCTCCTCCAGCCTCGTTCCCTCCACTCCTTACCCTGGACACACCTGCTTCAGGCCTGTCCGCCCCGTCAGGACCTGGTTTGTCCCTTCAGTACATTAGCTGTCGGACCTTGGCGTGACCGACTACTTCATAACATGCAGAGCTCAGCTCAAATGCAAGTCTGCTCAGTAACCTCAGATGTCGCCGCGTCGTGAGGCCCTTCTTAACCAAGTGATCGAAGGAAGCCCCGTCCCCAGGCGACCTCCGCCGCACCATCCTGCTTCCCATCCCGAAACTCCCTGTCACGTGTGGCGCTCTCGTCACTTTAATTTACCCATTTTTGACTGTCTTCCTGCACTGGAAAATGAGCTCGGTGGGAACGGGGCCCTGGCCTGTCTTATTCCGTTTGGATGGCCAGAGTCTGAATGAATGAATAAATGAATGAATGAATGAATGAAGTCATGCCAGTTAACCCAAAGGTCCTGCAAGAAAAGAGATCTTGAAAAAAAAAAAAATGCGAAGCAGCCAAACCAGGTCACTGGGGACAGAGCGAGCAGGGGCAATGGGGGTCCCATCTGTGGCCAGCCTTTGATGACAGTTCCCCACCATTCAGCCCACGGGCCAGCCAGATCCGCCAGCCAAGGGACGCATATCAGAAGGAAATAACGATCAAGAAAACCCCGTATCACGGAAAGCAGCAGGTGGGGGTGAGGCGGCGAACTTTATCAGCTCTTAAATAATCGCCTACTTTCCTTTCGCTCCCTCACAAAGGGTTCATTGTGGCTGGGACTTCCTGAGAGCAAGGGACCCTTTCCTAGTTCCTACATGCTCTACTTCAGGTGCAGCAGAAAATCAGAAAGCTCCGTTTCACTGCAGGTTCAAAAGAGTCGGTCCTTCAATCAATCAAGGATTAATTAAGCTATGCTAGGAAAAGACTCTCTCCATCTACTCAAAGCTGATACCAGGGAAATAATGAGAGAATAATTTAAGAACAATGGAGTTTGCAAAGGTTTTCGCCTGGGCTTTCTGTCTTGGAAGGCCTAGCCTCTTTCTTTTCTCTCATCTCATCCCTAATTGCATCACCTCCGAAGGTCCACGCCATAGACTCCGTGACTCATTAGTCTTTTTCAGTCACCCTTAGGATTAGATGCGAGACACTGTGTCTGAGTCTCTGAACATTCCGACTGTGGTACCCACGATGGAAAACAGTACCTCCCGCCTATCAGCAAGTCTACATATTCGTCACGCATTTCCCTGAGAGCATCAAGGAAATTTCCTGGTTTTTCTGCTCCTCAACCGTAAAACTCGGAGTCAAGAATTTCGCCTCCTCCACTAACATAGCGGGGTGTCTGGGCGACATCCACCCCACGACTTTTTACATTTTCTCTTCTGTAAACAGACGTTAGCACCTTTTCTTTTAACCTCAATACCTAACACGGTGCCTGGTGGAAAGTGGCTCGGCAGTATTTGTCGAGTGGACGAGTGAATGAATGAGTGCCTGAATGAATGCATCGCCAGGAGGAATAAAAGAGATGTGTGTGTAAAGCGTGTAGCTTAAGGACACCTCGCACAGTGGGTGCCTTCAAAGTGCCTTGAAAACTATGTAACACTGTAGTTATTGCTATTCTACGCATGTTGTGTGACAGGTGAACATTTCCATTTAAAGAGTTATTGTGTTGCAACCAAAGTTTGATCCCTTTTTCACTAAACTGGCTTAGAGAGGGAGCCAGCCGGCTCCCAGGGAATGGGGACAGACACGTCACGGGCCCTCCGCCGTCTCGTGGACTTTGCCTCCATTCATTCATCCCAGCCACGTCCCCCCCTTTCGGCCCCCTGACCTCCAGGATCCAGTTTCTCGGGCGTCTCGTGTTGTCCGTCACTATCAACTTTCTCCTCTTCGTCTTGGCGAGAACGCACGCTTGTTTTCCTCTGACTGGCCTCTTTTGACGTCGGTACCTCGGAGGCCAACGCCTCTAAGCAGAGGGCTGGCACAATGCGGTATCGGCTTTCACGGGGACCAGAGATGAGCTGTTGAATCCGAAAGCTGCTGTTGGCTGCGTCCTTACTAAGTGCACAGCTCCGTGTGTGTGGTCGAGGTTTGACAGTCATGGCCTCATTCGACAGCTCGGGAGGTGGGCTCTGTGTCCCCATTGCACAGATGAGGAACCAGAGGCCACCAGAGATGGGGGGATTTGCCCCTAGTCCTGCGGCAACCCCTTTGCTACACAGCCGCCATTCCCGGGAGGCTGGGGACCTTAGTGGGCCATCTCATCTAGGATGATGGGGTGTTCACTCATGAAACATTTGAAAGCCTGCCATGTGTGCCGCCACATCCTATGCGTACACTCCTGATTAAGTAAGATGTCTTCTGTGACTTCAAGGAGCTCACGTTTGAATAGGACCGAAAATCTAAGAAGAGGTATGCAGCACAACGTCATATATGACAGTGGGTGTTGGGGACCCAAAGGCATGATACTTCTCGGAGCAGTCCAGGAGCTATATAGCCAACCCACAGGCACTTATTTTATTTATTTTATTATTTTATTTTTTATTTTATTTTATTTTATTTTATTTTATTTTATTTTATTTTCACAGATTGCAAGGACCTTGTCAGCTTATAATCCCTTATTTTTTAATTTTTTACACCTACAGCACCTGATCTTCCTAGGTGGTCTCCTATCCAAGTACTAACCAGGCACAACCCTGCTTAGCTTCCGAGATACAGATGAAATTTTGAATAGGGGTGACAGTGGTGGTTGAGAAACCGTCTTTCCCATCCTT